CCTAGTGGTTAAAACGTTCGCTTGTCACGCCGAAGCCCTGGGTTCGATTTCCCACATGGGTACAATGTGTGAAGGCCATTTCTGGTGTACCCCGCCGTGATATTGCTGTAATATTGCTAAAGGTGGCGTAAAATCATACTCACTCACTCACTCACAGGTTCGGTACTGCCCTTACTGCTATGGAGTAGTGTAAAGTTTGATCACGTGTAATTGTCTTATTACCAGTTGAATAAAACATGTGTATATGATATTCATGACAGAAAGTTCTCTTTACATGAGAAGATCTCATGCGTGAATATCCATTTTAAGGGGTACATTCTTGCCCGGTCGTGTGGTAATAACGCAGCAGGTATACAGAGTCACTCACAAGGTGTAATTTGATATCACGTCTGCTAACGGTAAAAAAAGCAGACGACAGCCTCGCGGCGACCAACCCGTGACCCAAAATGTAGTATGCCACAATGAAGAAACATGTTAACCACAAATCCTCACTACATCGACTTCAAGTAAACAATCTCATTCACAAATATCAAAACAAGCTACAACACGTTGTCTTACCTTAGCAAGTCAATATCCTCCATTATAATCAAATTCGCCGGGTCTCGATCGATAAGAGATCTCATTCAATCTCGCGAGATCTTCTCGTCGAGACAACACTCGGGTGGGAGGTTTCTCTGCCTGTCTATTCGTCGTCCTTATATAATTGTATTTGCTAGAGGTACGTCACTTGAATATCTTAATACTTGACTGTCCACAGCTTTGAAAGAAGTGTCTTCCCTCACATGGTCGCGAAACCGTTAACTCTATAAATAGAAATCTGTACAACCGGGTATTTAAATCGGATCTTTTTTATTACGGGTTAAAATCACGTGCTCACACTTCAAGTGCGTTAACTCTAGATAAGCGCCCTGTATTTGCCTCCCAACACTTGATCTTGACGTGCTCAGTGAAGGGACGTAAATTCGGAGAAACGTGGAAATGTCAGGTATTAGAAATATTACGAAACAGTTTTTCATGAAGCGCTTGCGTGTTGCTATTGTTGTGAGCGCCATTTAAATTGTAATGGTGTTTGTGACGTAACAAATTGTTTGTGTCTTGAAATCTATACCAGTGGTAGCATTCTTGGAGGAGATTGGGTCAGCACTCCCTTTTGTACACGTGTACAGCAAGGTATGCTTCACCATGTAGCGGATACAATATCAAAACTGACAACTTGAGATTTTGTTATTATCATCATCGTCTTCGTCATCGTCTTCGTCAGCGTCATCATCATCATCATCATCATCAGTCATGGATGAAGAAGTCGCTTCGATTAAATAAACCTCTTATATCATTATTATTAATTATTATTATGATTCAAATCATAAATTTATTATAACTATATAATGTTGCAGAAAACATATAACATTTTCAGGGCTGCATGAAACAAAACAATGCTGTATACTGTTTACGAAAACTTTCGTTCGATGAGGCACTTGTCATGTCAGTCAATTTTCACGTTTTCATAAAAACAGGTTGTCTTAATTTTGTATTTTCATTGATATTTTTCGCCCACTCGCTTTCTTGGCGATTGAGGTTGTAGATGAGAATCGTAAAATAACAAACAGATGGGCTTGCAAATATTCATCGTTGTACCTGTATCCTTGTCATATCGACGTTCTGTTGGAAATGAAAATCATTGTCTAGTAGACTAAAGACATCAAGGAATGTTTTTGAATTTCATATTCGTTATCTCCACCGCAAAGTATATAACATAGTGGGTGAGTGAGTGAGATGGGGTTAGCTGCGCGTTGAATCATATTACAGTAACAAAGCATGGGAATTATTATTTGAAAAATAATAAAACATACACATCAGAAAATAATTCTGATTAATGGATGTCATAATCAAATCATTTTCCGAACCGTTTTTCAGAAAAATATATGTTTTAAATATGGACAATGCCCAAATGCAAACATCAATGCTTTTTCCAGGAAATGGGCTTCACACATTGTACCCATTTGGGAATCGAACCCGGGTGTTCAGCGTGACGAGCGAACGCTTTAACCACTAGGCTACCCCGCCGCCCCTCGCAAGAAATGTGAACGTTGATTGCACCTGTGCACTGGCAAGACCAAGTCTTGTCCAAGGGAGGTAACTCTACAAAGACGTTGACGCATCAAGCGTTCGTATATGATAGAAGTAGGTTGATGATATTTGTAGTTTCTTTTTAAAATAACACGCATCTCGCCTCGATGGACATAGTTGATGACACATTTAATGTACAGACATTGTGATCTGAGAAGAAAAGACAAATGCTCAGAGGTACGACAAATTCCGTTGCCAAGGCGACTCCCACGCCGTGCCCACGCCCATCCCACCTCCCCCCACCCACACCTTTAGCCTGTCACTTTACATCCCGTTTCTGCCACAGCTTCAAAGACACAGCTTCAAACAGCCCGTTCCAATCTATTCATGACATATTATCGAAAACTACAAAAATTGTCGACCAAACACTTTTTTTTCGGCAAAATGGATAGCAATTGAATACTGGATTTGCCCATAACGCTGCAGGCATTGTTTACATGTTACTAGTCTGAGAACTGTTGCCAAAATAACGGAACCTATAGAGATCTGTTGCCAAAATACTGGAACCTTCAGGTCTTAAGCACACCTATGATACAATTTTCAAATGTCAAATACATCAACTGGAACCCCAATTTCAAACCCGTTTCAAGTTTAGTCATTTTCAAGCCGGTTAAGCCGGTGTAATTCAAACTGAACAAAATGAACGTCATTTATATATACCATGTAAAAAAGTATATATGTCGAGGAAAGGTCAGTGAGTTACTCTAACATGCACACCCACGACGACATTACTACACTACATGGAAACGTGATTATGTCATTTGTCTAAAATAATAAGCCCCCACAAATTAGGATTTAAAAACTGCCCTTCTCAATTTAAACTGGCAATATATTAAACCGACGTTGAAAAGCACCCCCTCCCCCCAAACCCCAAGAAAAAATATAAATGAAATAAAGATAATTAATATATCGAAACAAAACAACAAGCAACAATCACACGTTTTGTACAAAATATATAAAATAAAACTAAACTAAAGTAAATAGGTGGGCAAGAAAAAAACCCCACTGTATATATTTTGAAAAGCGTACTGAGAAGTACTCACTAGTATCATATATTGAGTTATTGTTGTGCAAAACAATCCCAAAACACCGGATTATAATTTCCTTTTCTCGTCACTCTAAATAAACACACATACATGATACATCCCCATGTAAATCTACACATATACATGATATACACCATAAAAGAAAACATACATACAAAACAAAGATAAACGCCATATAAATGCACAAACATGACACACTCCGTGTAAATAAATACACATACATGATATTCCCCAACAAAGACAGAGGTAGCAATAATTCTGCTATAGATCATGATATCGCTTATTGTCAGTACAAAACACAAAGCCCCACTTTGATCTTGAAGGTATCAAATGTACCGTCTGTCTGAAGACAGCCAAGTAAGACACCACACCTGGGACCAATGAACGAGTGAGTATGGTTTTACGCCGCTTTTAGCAATATTCCAGCAATATCATGGCGGTGGACACCAGAAATGGACTTTACACATTGTACCCATGTGGGGAATCGAACCTGGGTCTTCGGCGTGACGAGCAGAAGCTTAACCACAAGGCTACCCTACCGCCCCTTGGATCAGTTAGCTTTATAGTACTTCCCTGCTGGATTTACCCCATCACTCTGGCCACCTGCGGCCAGTAGCCAGTTAAATGTCAAAAGCAATGTGTGTTTCAGTCAACATTTACATAAATACAAGATTGCAATTAGGACGAACGTTTTCCGCAAGTTGTCTTTACCAATGTGTCTCTCTATGTCCCCTTGAAATCAAAAAGTGCTTTGAAAGCGATAGCGAGTATTTATATGTGATCAAATCCTCGTTGAAACGGGATCAAACTGATCCCTCCTGTCTTGACATACGATATCTTTATGTGCACAGAATATTGATCAATGCCAGGTCTCCATACAATGATGCTTCTAATAATCAGCTTGTTACATAAACTTCATCTTTCAGGCAATTATCGGGTGGTCAGGTAGCCAGGTGTTTAAAGCGTTCGCTCGTCATGCATTAGACTTGGGTTCGATTCCCAACAATGTGTGAAGACCATTTCTGGTGTCCACCGCCGTGACATTGCTGGAATATTGCTAAAAGCGGCATAAAACTAAACTCACACAGGCCATATCCGTTTGCATGACGTCAACTTAACCTCGTGTACGAACGTCCATGTCAAGTTAGAACTGATCTACCGCATCCCACGCCCAGGTGTTCGAGAAGCAGGTTCACAGCAGGTTCACAGACAAAGTTATTTATTCATTAACCTGTGCTGTGCCGTCTCCATCCGTTCTCGAACACGTGGCTGTCCCTTTCTCTGCACTCCTCCCTCGTAACAAATAGTGAACTGTGTCAATATTTTAATGATAGATTGTTAAACAACTTTTTTTATTTTTAGGACAAAATTCTGCAAAAACCCACAGAGTGGGTAAGATGTTTTGATTATGATCAGCGTTTCATTGAGTATTTTATGTTTATTAGTTTTCGAGTTAGATTGCAATTCATCGGTCCGCTTTTGAGCCAAACGGACTATAGATTATGATAAAAGGGCACTTTAAAAAAAAATGGTACTCGGATTCAATGTTTGGGACAATACAGAATGGGCATAATCTTTCTGATCTGGGAATATAACCGTATCCCAGTTATATAGATCGATGCCCACAATCACGGGCTCGTCTGGTGCAGACTCGATGATTTCCAGACCGCCATCATATGGCTGGACCAGTGCCAAGTGTGTCGTTAAACAACAAACAACACAAACAGAGTTCCAGTTTGGTGCTATCTCGGATTCTAAAGAAATAAGGGGCGGTGGGGTAGCCTGGTGGTTAAGGCGTTGGCTCGTCACGCTGAAGACCCGGGTTCGATTCCCCACATGGGTACAATTTCAATGTGTGAAGTCCATTTCTGTTTCCCCGCCGTGATATTGCTGGAATATTGGTAAAAGCGGCGAAAAACTAAACTCATTCACTCTATAAATAAAAACGGTATTATAATTTTCCCCTTAAACAATTCATAATTCCACACAACGCAGTGTTTAAATGAACCACGAAACTCAAAAACACATTTGGTATACTCCAAGACTATGAACGCTTAGGCAAGTACACTTGAGCCCGTTTTCTCTGACTCCCCTCTTGAAAATCACTCGATCACTTTCTGACACGGGGAATGTACACAAACTTGGAATATATGGGTAGGCGTGGCTGGGAGGTGCGGTCAAGGAGCTGCTTAAGTGTCAGCATACAAAGGTTGATCGTCTCTTGACCAGCAGGTGCTAATTAAGGTGGACGGTGACTCGTCTATAAAACATTAACGTCAGAAAGATTCACAGCGTTTTTAGGTTAATTTATTGTTTCGTGAAAGCAATATGGAGCATCTTATAGACCTCAAAAGAAATATCTGCTTTTTAAGTGTATATATGTGTGTGTGAAATGGAAATCATGTAATTGTATTGTGTCGCATCACTGAGGTCACTTGGATGCTATTGGGCTAATACTCGTGAAGATTCGGGTTAGAATTGATCTTCAGCAACCCATGCTTGTCGTAAGAGGCGACTAACGGGATCGGGTGGTCAGGTTCGCTGACTTAGCTGACACATGTCATCGCATCCCAATTGCGCGGATCGATGCACATGCTGTTAATCCCAGGATTGTCTGGTCCAGACTCGATTATGTACAGACCGCTGCCACATAGCTGTAATATTGTTGAGTGCAGCGTTAAACTAAACTCACTCACTCACTCACTCCTTATCACCGTACTTATACACATTTTGGGCATACGTTAGGCTAATATGTACATCAACATTATCTTATATCTAGATATTTATTTATAAAATAGTGAGTGAGTTTCGTTTTACGTCCCTTTTAGCAATATAGTCCAGCAATATCACGACGGGGACACCAGAAATGGGCTTCACACATTGTACCCTTGTGGGGAATTGAACCGTGTCTTCGGCTTCAAGAGAGAGCTCCTTAACCAATTAGCTACCCCACCGACCCGATTTATAAATTCACGTTGGTTTTTATGTCATAAGTTTCCATTTATACTCTAAATTAACATCAGAATTAACAACGAGGACAAGGATACAGCGCATGTCATTTTATGCTTGTATTAGAAGGAGTATACCTTCTCATTGATTTTGAAACTACCCATTCTTAATTTATAAACCGGGGCGGTGGGGTAGCCGAGTGGTTTAAGCGTTCTCTCGTCACGCCGAAAACCCGGGTTCGATTCCCAACATGGATACAATATGTGAAGCCCATTTCTGGTGTTCCCCGCCGTGATATTGCTGGAATATTGCTAAAAGCGGCGTAAAACTTAACTCGCTCACTCACCCACTAATATATCAACCCAGAAGATTTGTGTACCTGACATCCTTTCCCACATTAATTTGACACCAAATCCCGACATGCTTCAATGTACGTATTTCCGAAATTCAATCGGAATTTGTCACCAGAGTGTATTCAGTGACCATCAGTTTGGACAATCGAACCTGATAACGGTCAACACCCACCCGCGAGTCCTTAATCCTGCAGTTGATATTACCGAGTTGACGGACACTTGACCCCGAGTGGACACTACCGAGGGCTTTGTTTACTAGCTCATCACGGTTATCAGTGTAGCTCGGACAGTCTAGGAGCCAAGTTGGCTCATATTCTGGCAGAAGTAGTTCAGTTATTTATTATCAACTTGGCCAAAACCCACACAGCGAGGATCTAGGGGTGGGGAAGGTGGTGGGGATGAAGGGCAGGGGGAACAGACAGACGCACAGACAGTCACTCGGGCAGACACTCAGACAGTCAGAGACGTTATGGGAATACATCGCCTAACGGTATGCATGCGTTGAGTATTGCAATTTGTCTGTGAGATAGATTTACTTAGACAAAAGCTACTTAAACACCCCCTTGTACTCAGCTCTTAGTCCTGAAGCTAAACACGGCGATTAAGGAGCGTTTCGGAAAAAACCCGGTCCCTTTCGGCGGCCATCTTGGTTTTGAAATTACAACATGACGACGCGTTTCTCTTTTTGTTCAGTATGTCAGCAATTATAACATTAAACGATTTACACGCGTATGGTGTTTGTATCTGAGAAAAAAGATGCGACTTGTTAAGATTTGTGTGTTCTGAAGTGTGTACTGAATATCCTGTTTCTGTAAACTGACGGTGTGGTCTCAAAGCACCGTTCTGAGCAGACACGATCAACTGAAATTAATTGCTTCACAAACATGCACACGCGGCATGTTCTGATAAAAATAAAAGCGAACCGCGTGTGAAGTTTGTTCACCTAGTTCTTGATTGTCAGGACAAAGATAGTTATACATGTGATGTTTACACGTTCTGCGTCTTTGTTTGTCGTCAACTTCACAAGGAATATGATATTTTATCATACATGAAGAAGTACGCGCGTGGGTGCCGTGTGTGTGCGTGCGAGGGTTTGTTAAAAAAAAAGGAGGTTAATGGGTTTGGATTTTCAACGGGATACTAGTATTTGAAATGTAATTGCGTGGGAGATGCGAGATCCGTGCAGATCCGGGTTAGAATTGATCTTCAGCAACCCATGCTTGTCGTGAGAGGCGACTAACGGGACTGGGTGGTCAGGCTTGCTGACTTGGATCGGTTCCCAATTGTTACTGGGTTAATGGAGGTTCATTCTAACGAGTACCTTCACGGGTCACTGGAAGTAACTGGGACAGTCGAATGAATGTCATGCTTCTTGGTGGGGTGCCGTTATCAAATCATAATGTCGATATGGATGCTCAATAAGGATAAGTATTTTTGTGCTTACTTCATGTTCCAAATCGTACAATGAACGCTGTTTTAGCAGATATTTGTTATTTATGTGAAAAAGGTCACGTCACTTTTATCGTAACTCCACCTTGATCGCGTAGAATGGTGTTCCTGTCCTCGACCACAGATTTGCCAGAATATTCACGCCTATCGACATGGGGATTTTTTTAGTGCGGCGTAAAACGAAATTCATTGACGATAAGTCAGAACGTTACACATATATTTCATTGACGTCTCTGGACCGAGTGTAAACTAGTAAATCAGAGAATGTTCTCCAGTGCTGACCTTCACCTTGCCCCGACCCTTCACAGAACCCTTCGGTGTTGCCCTGAAGGTAACATTCAGGTCGACCTGTACTTCTGATTCGCCCGGATAACAGTGTACATGGAACTGCCAGTATGGCACTGTCGATTTGACACGTGTTCTTCCCCAGCAACATAATCCGTTTGTAGACTGGTATGTCACGCTGTAAAGTATGGCGAGGATATATACTTGGGAGTAGCGTGGATATACTGATATATTTATTGTAGAACGACATGAGTCTGAATTACGATCGGATAAAGTCTCGGGCGTTAATCCCTGCTGGGGAGAACAATGCCATTCTAGAGATACTGAAGGGTTAAAGAAAGTATACCTAGTTTGTGTTTTATGTAATTGAAAATTGACTGACTGACTGAGTTTGGTTTTACGCCGCTTTTAGCAATATTCCAGCAACATCACGGCGGGGAAAACCAGAAATGGGTTTCACACATTGTACCCATGTGGGGATTCGAACCCGGGTCTTCGGCGTGACGGGCGAACGCTTTAACCACTGGGCTACCCCACCGCCCAATTGAAAAGTGAAGTAACTGTTGTTAAAGGTGATTGTATTTATTCAACCTTAACTCATCCATGCAACAGTTTCAAAATATACTCCTCTACTGCGGAGTAAGTTTGTGTAAATAAATGGGTTCAATGAAGGCGGCAATGAATTGAATTTGCAATTTACCATATGATTCCTGCAATGTTACTGTGTTTGTTGCAAATTAGTGCAGATAAAAACAAATGATCCAAGGCAACAGGTTTAAGAAATCAATCACCAGTTGTGAATTATGCATGTTTCAAAAAAGATTTATGAGTTGAAAAGGGCGGTAGGGTTGTGCGCGGTAGGGTAGCCTAGTGGTTAACGGGTTCGCCACAACGAAGATCCGGGTTCAATTCCGTGTATGAAGTCCCCACCGTGATAATGCAGTATTATTTGCAAACTTTAGCGTAAAACTAAACTCATTCACTCACTATGCACGTGTACGTTGAAAAATATACCCAGGTGCAAGGTGTCTTTGAGGGCTAGATATACTGAGGGAAACAAATAAGGGAACACCACTTATTGCAGTGTTCCTTTACTTATTCTCAGGTTTTCACTTACAGTGCAATACAAAGCTTGTGAAGAAACCTGGAAAAGAATATAAAACACTTGCACTTTCATGTGTTCCCTTATTTGTTTTCCTCAGTATATTTTCAATTGAAAATCAAAATACATGTATGATAAAATCAACTGAGATATATAGTCCTATGTGACGGTTAGTGTATATACCTGATCCTGAAAAAGTTCCTCTGGCCTTCGTCAAACACACCATAAACATAAAGAAAAGCGGTTTCGTGTACTACATATTCACGAAAATCTGACACAAACCCAAAAGTATCCAGTGAGGGTAGAGTGAGTGAGTGAGTTTGGTTTTACGCCGCTTTTAGCAATATTCCAGCAATATCACGGCGGGGGACACTAGAAATGAGCTTCACACAATGTACCCATGTGGGGATTGGAACCCAGGTCTTCGGCGTGACGAGCCAACGCTTTAACCACTAGGCTACCCCACCGCCCCCCAGTGAGGTTAGAAGTGTGTGTAGAGTTCAGCAAAGAACTCTTATCATAATATCATATTGAAAACGTGACGGGACCACACCTCTTATGATATTTGTACAGGACAACGAAACAAAATGACTGAAATACGATGTGCTTTTCTTTAAAATATTTTTAAAATCTATTTTGAACATTAAAGTGAAAAAATGCATCACATGAAATCGACGTGACTTTTAGTGAAATACCTTCCAC